GACCTCTAGCCTGCACACAATTCTTCCTGGGTCCCAGTGCCAGGCCTGCAACTTGGCATTGAAAGCTGCCCTCCCTTTCCCAGGCTCTGTGGAGTCTGGCTCCTCTCCTGGATAGCAGTTGGGAGCTTTTCTGATAGAGGAAGCATCCTTCGGTGTCTGGGAGAAGCCAATGGGAGGAGAGGAGATAGGGCCTGGTCCACTGCAGAGTGCTTTCCGGTGGGTACAGAGAGGGTCAGCCATTGGACTAAGATCACACAGCAGTTTGGAGAAAACACAGGAGTGGACCTAACTGTGTCTCCCTGAGGGGGTCTTTCTTCAGCCATTCTGGGGGAGGTCAGCTGGTGCCTGGGCCCCCGTGGACCAGCACGGCTGTGTTATTGCTTGGGGGAGGGACTTGGCAGCGCCCTGGTGGGAGGAGGCTTGCCTTTGGTTCTTTGATGCTCATTCTCTCGAACCCCTGGGGAATGCCTGAGTCATCGCTGAGCAGCAAACATATTTAGCTTCTTTCATCATCCCTAATAAATCAACTTCTCCAGGTCTCTCATACCTGCCTCCAACTCCAGGCTGCCTGCCCCATTTCCTGTCGCCTGACATCTGGGCACTACAGAGACTTCCAGCCTCCAGGCTCCTGGCAGTGGTCCCCTTGCTGTTTCCTCTCTCTCCCCAGGCATTCGGGGCCAGGCAAGGCCTCCTCGTGCTGGGCTGACCTGCATTCAACAGCTGCCTTCCTGGAGCCCTTCAGAGCTTCCTGCAGCTAGGAGCTGCCTGGCATAGATACAGGGATTAGCAGCTCAGCCCTGACCCTGGCCATCACCCCGGTGCCCCCTCAGCCCACGGGGGCCTGTGTTGGGGCCCAGGGAAGCTCCCCAAACACCTTACCTCACCCTGTCTCCTACAGGTCAGGTTGGCTGGAGGACGTCAGGCCTTCACTGGGCTTGTATTTCATGGCGCCTCTTCCCGGAGACCTCCTGGCTGCTTTCCCGTTTTAGGGAGTCTCTCCCCCAACCAGGGTCCCTTTGTCTCTCTGTGGCAGCATGAAGCCAGTGTGCCTTGTGGGGGTAATGTAACAAACAGCGAGTACTAGAACCCCAAGGAGCTGCACAGTACTGTCTTCAGCTTTCTGTGTGTGCGTGTGCGTGCACACACACGTGCAAGTGTGCGTACGAGTGCACGTGTGCATGTGTGTGTACTCTCACATCTATGCATGTATGTGTGTCTCAGCATATACACAGGGGTCAGAGGACAACTTTCAGGAGTTGATCTGTCCTTCTACAGCGTAGGTCCCTGGGATCTAACTCAGATCCTCAGGCTTGGTGGCAAGTGCTTTTACCCACTAAGCCATATTGCTGGCCCCACTGACCTAAGCATTTCATATATACTTAGTTCCCATTTTACATGTGGGCAGTCCAAGGCTCTGAATGCTGAAGAGATTACTTAAGAAATGGAGAGAACCAGACCCAAGCCTCCTGAGTGGCTCCCATGGCTGCCCCTGCAGCCTCTCGCAGTAAGTGGCGTTCAGAGACCTGCTGTTACCGGATCCCACCACTGCGGTGGGAGCCGCACCGGGCCCACGTCTGAGACCCCCTTGCCTGTAGACATCTCCGCTAAATGTTAGTGCCAGGGTGGAAAATCTGATCCAAAGAGGCTGCAGCCTCTTCTGAGGTGCACAGCCAGGAAGACGTGGGAGAAGCAGGAGCATGCCTTTGAGGGAGGAGGCCTTCTAGGGCTGCTTAAGGGCACAGGCCCTAGTGGAGTAGGTACCTCCCCACCCACCATGCGATGCCCATACCAGATTCTGTACTGGTCCGGGCTGTCGCTACAGCTGCAGAGGAAGGTGCTCATCAGTGTGTCGTGAGCGCTCCCTGCTGGCCAGATTTAGTACTACAGAGAAGCGGAAAGGTGAAAGCCACCCACCCCTGGGAAGAGGGACCTCCCAATGTACGGGAGTGATGTGGTCCTGGACCCTTTCCTGTCCCTCAAAATATCTATCTTCTTAGCCTCACAGTCTCAGAGGCAGCCGTACCCTGGAGCCTTTTGATGCTGAGGCCCGGAGTTTAGTGCGGGTTGTTTTTGTTTTTAATCAGGTGACTCACAGTTATTAAGAAACCCCTGTATGCCGGGACTCAGCAAGTGCACAGTCAGACATCCGTGGACCTCACAGTCTGGTGGGATGGGGTGGCTGCCAAGCCCCGCCCCCTCCTCCTGGTCTGTCCATGGGTCCAGCCCTTTCCGCACCGTTCCTGCACGTGACAGTCTGGGCGGGTCTCACCTGCCTCTCCCGTTAAAATGGAGCTCTTCTGTTCTTGTTTTTTTTTTTTTTTGTTTTGTTTTGTTTTGTTTTGAGACAGGGTTTATCTTTGTAGCTTCGGAGCCTGTCCTGGAACTCGCTGTGTAGACCAGGCTGGCCTCACAGATCCACCTACCTCTCCCTCCTGAGTGCTGGGATTAAATATGCATGCCACCACCACACACACACACACAAATATATATATATATATATATATTGTGTGTGTGAGTGTGTGTGTGAGGAGAGAGAGAGAGAGAGAGAGAGAGAGAGAGAGAGAGAGAGAGAGAGCTCATTACGTAGTTCTAGTTGAACTGAAACTTGCTATGTAGATCAGGTTGGTCTTGAACTCACAGAAACCCACCTGTCTCTGTCTACCTGGTGCTGAGACTAAAGGTGTGCACCACTACACTCAGCATGCTATTTTTAACACCTTTTAATTATATATTTAAATTAGAAACAAGCTTGCTTCCCATGTCAGTCCCAGTTCCCTCTCCCTCCCCTCCACGCCTGCTCCCCCATCAGCCCCCCACCCAATCCCCAATCCATTCCCCAGGGAGGGTGAGGCCCTCCATGGGGGATCTCTAGAGTCTGTAATTTCATTCTGGGGAGGGCCCAGGCCCTCCCCCAAATGTCCAGATTGAAAGAGCATCTCTCATTGTGGGATGGGCTCCCAAAGTCCATTTGTGTGCCAGGGATAAATACTGATCTAGTACCCCCATAGATTGCCCAGGTCTTCTCACTGACACCCACATTCAGGGGATCTGGATCAGTGCCATGCTGGCCTCTCAGCCATCAATCTGGGGTCCAAGATCTCCCCCTTGTTCATGTCAGCTGTTTCTCTGAGTTTCACCAGCCCAGTCTTGACCCCTTTGCTCATCACTCCTCCCTCTCTGTCACTGGGTTCCAGGAGTTCAGTTCAGTGTTTAGCTGTGGGTGTCTGTCTCTGCTTCCATCTGTCACTGGATGGAGGTTCTAGGATGGTATGTAAGATAGTCATCAAAATCCTAGCATCTAGGTTGCTTCTAGGTTCTGGCTATTAGGGAGGGGCATTTAAAGAAGTCTCTCCACTACTGCTCAGTTTGCCAGTTGGTGTCATCCTTGTAGATCTCTGGAGATCTCACTAGTGCCAGATCTCCCCTCAAATCTAGACTGACTCCCTCTATTATGGTGTCTCTCATCCTGCTTTCCTCTTCCCCTCCCCTGTCCTCCCCACCCCTGTGCTCCCAATCTGCTCAGGAGATCTTGCCTCATTCCACCTTCTCTGGGGTACCATGTATCTCTCTTAGGGTCCTTCCTGTTTCCCAGACTCTCTGGCAGTGGGATTGTATGCTGGCACTCCCCTGATTCATATCTAAAATCCATATATGAGTGAGTACATACCATGTTTGTCTTTTTGTGACTGGGTTTACCTCACTCAGGATGGTTTCTTCTAGTGCCACCCATTTGCCTGCAAATCTCAGGATTCCATTGTTTTTTTCCACTGAATAGTACTCCATTGTGTAAATGTACCACATTTTCTCTATCCACTCTTTAGTTGAGGGGCATCTAGGTTGCTTCCAGGTTCTGGCTATTACAAATAATGCTGCTATGAACATAGTGGAACAGACGTCCTTGTTGTATGAATAGGCATCTTTTGGGTGTATGCCTAAGAGTGGAATTGCTGGGTCTTGTAACTTACTTTTATTATTTATATGCATGTGTGTGCTTGTGTGTGCACATGCTTGGGTATGTGTGTGTTTACTACGCACCTATAGAGGTCAGAAGAAGAGGTTGGGTCCCCTGAGTTATGGGAGTGGGAACCAGACTTGGGTCCTCTGCGGAGAGCACCAAGTGCTCTTAATTTCTGAGTCATCTCTCCAAGCCCCAGACTTGAACTTGTTTCGAAGGCAAGGATGTGACCATGGTCACAGGGCTCTTTGGACCCCTGGCTCTGCTACAGAGATCTTGGTATACAGTAAGTACTCAGTACGTGGGTCAAAAGAAGGAAAGAACGGGAAAGCTGAGCTAGTTCAGCCACAACGATCTTCAAGAAAGACCCTAATGGTGTGATTATTGGCAGGGGGTTGGGTGAGGGAGGCAGGAGGTGGCCTTAGGACTCTGGAGCACTGGACTATGAGCCCAGATGGCAGGGATCCTGGCTTGGCCTGTCAGCGCCTGGAACAGGGCCTGGCACAGCAGGGACACTTTAAAAACATCTGTGGGAAGACAGTCAGCAAAGGTCACACAATCCTGCCCACACTGGTTCCTGGGCTAGTTTGCGCTTGCCTCCCTCTGGAGGCAGTGGGATCACTACCAATCTTCTGTGTCAGTGGTTCTATCTGAAGATAGTCCTGCCTTCTGGAAAATTCTGTTTTTCCCTGGATGTAGGAGAATCAACTAAGCCTAGCTCCTACTGCTGACCCAAAGAAGCCCAGAGAAAAGCCCACCTCCTGGGGGAACTTCTGCCCAGCACAGCACCTCCCTGCAGCATCCCGAAGATAAGGTTCTAGGGACCACTGAGTGTGCTCACTCTTTCAGGATGGGGGGGCAGGGAGGGGTCAGGGATGGCAGACACAGTCACAGGACAGCTTTCTGTCCACAAGTTAGATCATGAGACTTGCTTCTCAGTGTCAGAGCAGGAAATAAACTGATACTCCCCACCTTGGTGCTGGGGAAGAAACTCAGGACCAGGAAGGGTCCCACAGTGTCTGTGCGCACACATACACCCCAGAGGAACACTTTAGGGTCCTTTAATTCCTAAATGGGGGCAGCTGAGGTGGACTCAGCTCAAGTCCCCATTGTCCAGCAAGTGCTCTGTCTGCTGGTACCCAGCTCCCAAGTGTGTGTCCATCCAGAGACAGGAGTCTCAACCCCCCACGGCACTTCTCTTCCTGACCCTGTGGGAAGTGTGCACCCGTGGGCTCCTGAGAAGAGCGAGGCAGGCTGGCCCCCTGCTGCTCCTGCTCAGGGTCCATGCTGGCCCAGGACACAAGGAGCCCCGTTTCTTGCTGCCCTGCTGAGGAGTTTTCCCCTGTGGTGTGGGGGCACTTCAGGCAGGATAGGGGGTACAGGTGCTCTGGGGAGAAGCTTCCTCCAGGCAGGGCCTCCCCGGGGGACACAGGGGCCTGTTGTGTGTGGGAAGCTGGCTTTGTTCTGGCTGGAGGCAGGAACAAGGACCCATTCTGCGGCCCCCACCCCCCTAGCTTTGCTGGCCGGGCATCTAGCAGCGGTGCCATGGGCAGGAGTCTGTTAAGCATGAGCCCTGTGCCACCAGATGCCTCATTGTGGCCTCCAGGCAGCCCTCTCGGTGGGCATAGCCTACAGCCTTCCCTTTTCTCTCAGCTGTAGCTCAGATCTGCCAGCCATAGATGCTGCCATTTCCTCGGGGCTTCCCCTGCGCCCCTGGTCACGTTAAAGCCCTTGAGAATGGTGCCAGCGGTGTCCTCAGAACCTCCCAGAACAGTCTGTCTGGTTCAGCCACCTGGTGTCCTAGCTCCCCTGGACACCAAGCTGACCAAAGGCAGCTGGGCCAAGATGTTTCCTGTCCAGACCCTGCATTTTTATAAGACCCGAGAAGGGCTGTGAGTCCGCGGAGGGGCCTGCCTGGAGCTTCAGGCTTGGAGCTGGGAGTATGCTGGTCCCTGGTGCTGGCAGGGAGGGCCGGGCCCAATCTGAGGGGCAGGATGCCTTTGAACTGGAAGCTTCCAGAGAATCCATGGTCCTTCTACCGGGGAGGGGGAGAGTGGGACACACTGGTCGTAGGCTCTGGGCTGCCTTGTCTCCCCACCCTCACCCGAGGCTGTCGCGGTTCAGGATGAGACTCGTAGGTTCTTCCTGGCGCACAGCGCTGATGTTAGGGCTTCCCTGCAAGCTCTTCGCTCTCCAGGGCACCCCACCCCTCATAGCCAGTCCCAGTCACGGGGAGGGTTAGTTCACAAGTGGGGACAGGCGCAGTGGCTGAGAGGCGTGGATCCGGGTGCCACAGGTCCTGCGAGGCTGCCAAGCCTCTCCCAGGACTCACTGCTTGCTGGCAATCTTCTTTTTCCGAGCAGACAGCAGATCATAGAAGGGGACACGGGTGATGCTGGCCCTAGGGGTGTGGGAGGAAATGAGACTTCAGGGCTTGCTGGAGGGTAGGACTCCTGGACTTGTGATCTGGGGTCTGTGATTCCCAGGGAGGGGCTGGCTCATCCTACTGCAAGGGAAAGGCCAGGGACTGATGTATGGAAACTCTACTCTGATAGCCTTGTCCCACAGGCAGGCCCAGCAAGGGCAAGACCTCAGTTAGGAGGTGGGGAGCCCAACAGAGAGACCCCACGCCCAGACTCCTTTTCCAGCCTCTGTAGAGAACCAGGAGAGTCAGTGGTAGAGCCCCCCGGACCCCTCACTGAGTGTCGCTCTGCGCAAGGCTCTGCCATCTCTGGGCTTCTCTAACCCTTCAAGTTCCTAGGACGTGGTCCTTGTCCAGCGGCCACACATGCCTTCTAGCTGACAGGCTTCCATTGGCCCATGCCTCTCCTCTGGCTGAGCTCCTTGCAAGCACCAAGAGCCTGGGCCCTCCCACTGCTCCCGGGAAGTTGGTTTCTTCCTTCTGTGTCCCCTAGGCTTGACTTGGTGCCTGCCCACCAAAGGCCACCAACAGGAGGGAGACCTGGAATGCCCTTCTTTACGGACAAGGAAAGAAGACCCCAAAGAAGTCTGAAGGTGACAGGCGGTGCCCGGTGTCCCGGCTGCCCTCACCTGATGGCCTCGATCCACTGGTCGCGCTCCTCAGCGTTGGCAGCTGAGATGCGGTAGGACTCATGTCTGCCTTCTACCACCCTGCCGTCACCATCAGTCTTGCACGCCTTGACCTTCTGGCCCCGGCCGCTGGGGTTGTACAGCTCCAGGCAGAACTGTGGGAGGTGCCAGGTGAGGGGAAGGTCAGGGGACAGAGCAGCGCTCTCACAGAAAGCTCCTCCCAACGGCCCACGGGGGAGACGACACCAGGCACCTACCGTGTCCCAGGGTCCCTAACATCCCATGTAACAGATGGGGGAACCAAGGCTCAGAAAGAGCTGTGACTTACAAGTCCCCCAATTAGCCAAGCCCCACGAGACAACTGAGCCATTTCAATGACGCTGGCCATCCTGGGTCCATAGCTCCTTGGGAGCCCTACAGAGTGACCCAGCCTCGTGGAGGGTCTCATGCAGGCTCCTTCCCTCCACTGTGCTGGGAATCCCCAGCTGGACTCTCACCGGCTTCTTGGGGTCATCCACTTTCTGCACAGACAGGTTCTCCAGAGGGATGATGCCCCGAGGCTCTTTGTCCTAAGGAAGTGAAGTCAAGGACAGGAAATGTGAGCTTGTGGCCTCCCCAGACTTTCTGTCCAGACAGCCCAGCCACAGACTGTCACAGTGCTAGAACCCTGTTTGGGATCTGGGATATCCAAACGTTTTTTTCCATTTTTACTGTATGTGTATGGGTGCTTAGCCTGAATGCATTAAGTGCATCACATGCATGAAATGCCCACAACGACCAGAAGAGGGCGTCAGATTTCCCCCAGCACTAGAATTACAGACAGTTGTGAACTGCCATGTAGGTGCTGAGAATTGAACCCAGATCTTCTGGAAAAGCAGCCAGTGCTCTTGACTGCTGAGCCATCTCTCCATCCTGTCTGTCTGTCTGATGTCTGTCTGTCTTCTGAAGGGTCTTGTGTAGCTCAGGTTGGCCTTAAACATGTTAGGACCCTCTTGCCTCTGCTTTCTCGGTGCTGGGATTATGGGTATACATACACCCATAGCCTTTAGGTGATCCAGCCATCTTTGAACAATGATTTTTTTTTTTCAGCTCTGGGAATTGACCGGGGCCTCACACCTGTTAGGCCCACACTCTAACACTGATCCCAGGAAACCCAACTTTAAATCAGTGCTCCCCCTTGCCCAGCCCCTCCTCCTCTTTGGCCCTCGTGAGCACTCTGAAAGGGCGGGGCGCTCTCAGGTGGTGGCAGCAGCTGGAGGGGAGGGGTCGGGGGCGACTGGCTGTGTTCTAACCCTCATCCCCACACACTCACAGTGGTGAACTCAAAGTAGTAGAGGCAGTTGTCGGTGAGGATGAACCAGCGTCTCTTCCATGTCTTCACGCGGCCCCCTGCAAGAAGCCGGCAGCATGGCAGGGCATCTCCTTCCCCTGGGCCACCACGTTCCCCCATGGGCGAGCCCCGGAGCCCTGCGCGCACCCCCCCCCCCCCGTTCCTCGAGCCTCCAGATCCATCCTTTCTATACTCCAGAAGTTAGCAGCTCCCCACCCCACTTCCTTGCATTTGGGTCCCAGAGATCAGATTAGAGGGGACGGTGGCACTGTTCCCTGCTCTTCCAGGACACTGTCACCTGACCCCGCCCCAGCCCACTAGGACCCACGCTTGCTTTATGTATTTACTGGTTAGCGTTGACTGTCACACTGACAGGATCTAGAGTCATCTGGAATGAGCCTTGGGGCATGACTGGGAGGAAGTTTCTAGACTGAGTCAACTGAGGTGGGCAGCCCCCATCCCAGGGGCTGGAGTCCCAGACTGAGAAAGGAGAAAGGGAGCTGAGCAGCAGCCTTCCTTACTCTCTGCTTCCTGACTGCGGGTACCATGTGACCAGCCACCCCCAGCTCCTGCCGCGAGGAGCCCTGCCCTTAGAGCCAAACACACCTCCCCTCCCTGAACTTGCTTTTGTTAGGTATTTTGTTGCAACATTGAGGACAGTTGCTAACACAGCATTCTAGCTTTGATTATCAGGCCTGGGAAAAAACGAGGAAGTGAATCCCTGTGGCCATCCAGGAGGAGGAGGGCCACTGGCAACCCCGTTTTGATAGATGAGGAAACCAAGGCTGGGCAAAGCTAGGTCATGTGTCCATGGTCCTGTCGCTGCCCTGGAGCCCAAGCTCCCAGCCATGCTGCTACGTGGCTAGTACTTTCTGGGTCAGTGTCCGCAGTCCAGCTGCAGAAACTGATGTGAGCTCCCCCATGGGCTCTGCTGTCTGGATTTGTGACTTGGGGATACTCTGGGGGCTGGGAGCTGGTGTCTGAGGTCTGTAGGAGGAGAGGCTGCCGCATGGTGACAGACAGAAGGCTTGGTGGTCATCTAGGATATGGATGAGTCTGCCACAGTCTAGGTACACAGTAAGTGATGGAGGCTGCCTGGCTGAGGCCCTTCCTCCAAGATGAGGACTGGCTGGTCCTGCTGGGGAGGCTCCGGGGAGTGTTCCTGGAGGAGGCAGGGCTGGCTGCTTCCCTCCACCACTGGAGTACCCCTCTCTCCCTGCATCCCCTCTCTCCCTCCTCCTGCTTCAGGGACATCCAGCCCTCTGCTGCCCTAAATATGGTACTTGCTGACTGTGTGGCTTTGAGAAGTTGCCCTAACCTCTCTGAGTCTTGGCTTCCTGAAAATAGCCAGCCAAAGGTTGGGCTGTTCAAGGACCAGCATCTCATGTTCTGAACACAGGGACTCTACTAGTCTCTTCTCTACACCCCTCTGGAGAGAAACAGAACTGTCCATGGAGCCTCTGTCTCCCCACGCCCCCTTACATCCAGCCTCCCCTGCACCCCAAGACACATGGATGGTTAGAAGGGTAGTTGTTTTCATGGATGGATATATGGATGGATGCGTTGGTGGATGGATAGAGAGGCGAATGGATGGTGGGCAGGATGGATGGGTAAACAGAGTGTGTGGATAGATAGGTGGGTGGGCAGGTGAAGGGGTGGATGGGCGAAAGAGTGGAGGGTGGGCGGATGGATGGGCAGGTGAGTGGCGAGGTGGATGAATGGGTGGGTGGAGCAGTGGGTGGGCGGATGACGGATGGGTGGATGGGTGGGTGGATGACAAGGCAGATGAACGGATGGAGAGGGCAGTGGGTGGGCAGATGGCGGCTGGAAGGTGAGCGAGAAGAGGGATAGGAAAGCTGGGTAGACTGCTGGCCCGGGGTCAGGTGACCCAGTGCCATTCAGCTCCACTCCGAGGTGTGTGTGTGAATGTCAGCCACACGTGCGCACGTGAGCTTGTCAGAGTACGTACACGGGCCTTACCCAGCTTGAGCAGCCAGCCTTCACGGTCAGGGTTGAAGAAGGTGTGGGTGAGGTCACCGCCATCATCTTCGGGAATGGAGAAGGGTTCACTCTTGATGCTGTCAAAGAGGTTCTGTCCAAAGGAGGATGGAAAAAGTGGGTTTGGTCCACTGAGTTTGGGGCCTGGTCCACCCTGGTCTGGGTGGCCTTGGGAAGGTCCTGTCCCCACAGGTGACTGGTGTTCTCCTTTGCACCGGCCAAACCCATACCCTAGGTTCCTTTCCCTGTGTTGCCTCAGGGCAGAGGGAGCAGGGTGGGTGCCTTAGGTTCGCACATGGAAACACAGACACACCCTCCCCAGGTACAGGGGCCAGAGTCCCTGCTGCTTCAGGCAGTGCTCATGATGGAAGATGCCCCTCTTCTACCTAGGTAGAACCTTCTAGATAGCATGCTGGGGTGAGGATAGAGGAGGCCCTGGGGAGGAAGGAATTGACTGCTTCAGACTCAGAGACCCAGTAGAAGGGGAGGTCCCCAGTGGGGCTCCGACCAATGTCTACCAGGATGGGCTCTGATTACAGGGACTGGGATGCAGAGGGTCCCCCCGAGAGCTGACTTCAGTGCTCTGCGGATGATTGTCTGGTAAAAAGGTGCTTAAATATACAGGGAGTGACCCTGGAGGGATGGAAGGTATGCCAGCCAGGGATGTGACTCCCTAGGGCAAGGTGTGGGTTCACACCCTCCAGAGTATTTTGAATCTTCTTGGGGCAGTGGATTCTAACTTGTTCCTGCTTGTTAAAGCCAGACGGCAACACGCAGCTGTTAACTATCAGCGCGTCTGGCTGATGTTTCCCAGTATTGTAATGGCAGATTTCACACGTTCATGTGTATATGGGTGGGTGGATATCTCTAGATGGATAGGTCGGGTAGATGAATGGAGACCTGACTCCCCCTATTTACTGCCATCCTGTCCAGGGGTCCCCCCGGGGTGCAGGCCTGAAGCTGGTTTTCCTGAGTCTGTGGAGGTGGGTCTGGAGCACCCTCCAGACAAGCCTCCAGTGTCCCTCTCAACCTCACTGCGGTGTGGGGCGGGAGAGAAATGGGGGCAGCTTCCTTTCGGCTGGGGCGGAGGCGGGGTGCATGGATGTGGGGGTGGAGTCTTTACCTTGGGAATCCCCAGGTGGCCTGGCTGGTGGAATGAGGGTCTGAGACAGGAAGGTCCTAGCAGTAGCTGAGCTGTCATCTCAGACAAGCGTTAGGGAGGCCAGCGGAGGCTTCGGGGTGGCAGACAGGGCCTCGGCCTCTGCTAAACCCACAGGAGTACCTGAAGTTTCTGTGGTCACAGTATCATTGTGTGTATTCTGCCTCGCAGAAAAGCAGCGCACCCACGCTTCCTGTGTCTTGAAAACACCCTGAAGTGCTTATCTCCGAAGAAACCACCACATAGAGGCTCTCAGGGCCCTGGGTGTACAACATGGCCTGTCTTTCCCGGGGTGTTCTGGAGCCCTCTCCTCTCTTTTCTGTCTCGGATGTTCAGTGAGGTGGGCACCCTCCTCCATTCCAGGAAGGGACAGTGACCCACTCCCCTTTGGCTGTTTAGAGCCTTGCATCCTGTGTGCTGTAGGGACTAGTTTAGATAGAGACACATGGCCCCGCCAGTCAGTAGGACTTAATCCTAGGGCTTTAGTTTTGAGGGGAGAAGCTGGCAGCCTGGACCTACTTGGGCATCTTTTGCAATAGCCAGGGTCTAAGAGACAGCCAGTGTACAGGGTGGGCTTGCTGTGACATGTTGCCTCCTCAGGCCACCAACGAAGCCACACCCAAAGCCAACGGGACCCCTGTTCTTTTTAGTGATATTGTGATTCTCCCAGCCAGAGTGGAAGACAGAAAAGTATAAAGAAAGAGACATCAAGATTTGCACGTGATGGACCACCTGGGTGGGTCAGGGGGTAGAGGCGCTTGCTGTCAGGCCTAATGACCTGAGTTCGAGCCCACAGAGGGAGAGAGAGCTAATTCCCGCACCTTGTCCTTTTGCCTTCACACGTGCGCTGTGGCAACACTAAGGGACAGGACACACAAGAACCCCGTCTCCAGATGCTGGGGAAGGTGTGAGGGACCCCAAAGGGACCCCAAAGGACCGGTCGCCTGCAGCCCTTGACTGCCAGTCCTGTCCCAGCTCCCTAGCCCACCTCCATTCTCAGAAACGCTATTTTCTTCCTTAAACTCTCTCTCTCTCTCTCTCTCTCTCTCTCTCTCTCTCTCTCTCTCTCTCTCTCTCTCTCTCTCTCTCTCTTTCTCTCTCTCTCTCCATGTGTCCCTGTCCCAGTTCTTGGCTCTAGGACACAAGAGCCTGGAAACCTTAGTGGGTATGCCTTCCGGATCCAGTTCCTCATCTGTGACGGGGGTGGTGGCATGCTTGGGGTCCCTCTGTCCTCAGGATGGCTAGTGCCTTCTAGCCTCTGCGGGGAGCAGAGCTCCACAATGACACAGCTCAAGCTAGGACTCTCTTATTACAAATGTGAAGCCTCAGGCTAGCTTCCTCCAGTGGCACCCTGTGACCTTAGTTGGACCCTGGGCACGGGGGGGGGACACAATGACAGCATGTCTAGGACACTGCCCGTCTGACAGGGAGTCCCAGAATGGCCCACCGAGGAGCTGGGATTCATCCCCTGCCCCTGTGCCGGGCTCCTAACTCTGACCCAAGAACCTTTTAAGTACTGTGTCCTGGGCTGCCTGTCCCCTGCAGCCTCAATACATTTCTCCTAGCTTTCCTACAAGCTCACCCTCCAGGACTGTGTGACCTCGGGGTGACCTGTCTCGGGGCACCAGTCTGTGTAAATTTACTTTTGTCTCATGGTGTCCTTTAAAGCCTTTGGGGGATCCCTAGGTAGTCGAGCAACAGTGGTTCTTGGAGAACTCACTTCCGCAAAGAGATGACGTGACACTGGGTTCTGGCTTTAAAAATTCTAAGATGGAGTCGGGGAGAAGGTGAGGAGATCCTGGGTCCGCGTGGCTGCCTGTGAAAACCTGGAATGGCTCTCAGAGTAGGCCGGGGCACTCTGTGACACAGCTGGGAAGAGCTCCATCCAGCAGCCACTCCCTACGAGCTCTGCTAACTCCAGCTGGAGAGGCTCCGCTCTGGGCTGAAAGGCAGGCAGCCAGCTGGCTGAAGTTCTGCTCTTTGCCTGGCTCCACACTGTTGGCCAAGGTACCTGACCCCTCCCAGGCCTCCTTGACAGGGTGGGTGACAGGTCACCTGCAGGAAAGTGCCAGCTTGGGGACATGAGCAGAGGAAGGCTCTCTGGGTGGAAGGCAGGAATGGTTGGTCAGGGGGAGGCCTCAGACGGTCAGGACACCTGGGAGAGGCATGCTGGCGGTACCGGTAAGTGTGAAGCCTCTAATGCCCGTATGCTCCAGCCTGCTCTGAGGGTTGGGCTGTTTTTATTTGTTTGTTTTGAGATGTCATCTTCTGTAGCCCAGGCTAGCCTCAAACTTGCTGTGCAGCCAAGGATGCCTTTGGACTCGTGACCCTCCTGCCTCTGCCTCCTGAGGGCTGGGATCATAGGAGTGTGCTACACTGCCTGGTTTATACTGGGGATTGAACCCGGGGCCCGGTGCGTGCTTGGCAAGCGCTCCTACCACCGCAGCCACGTCCCCAGCGCTCTCTTCATTATTCTTTCTGATGACAGGCGCTGCCTTTAAGCCTGGGTTATGAGCAGTGTAGGGCCTGCCCTTAACATTAAACAAAATGACTACCCACAGCCACCGTGGTTCAGACTGCTCACCCCCAGTCCAGGAGGGAGCAGGTGCACAAGGGAGATGGGGCTGACCAGAGCTCCGGGTGGCTCTGGAACCTTCCTTACAGGTGGAGTGACTCTGGCAGGACCCACGTCCTGTGGGCTAAGGGGATGCTCAGCTCTGAGGGGCCAGGCTCTGGTCTGGAGCTCAGGTCCTTGATGACTTTAATCCTGGCCAGACTTGGGAGCTCTGAGGACCAGGCACGCTGCTCAGACCTACCCCATCTCAGGGCATCACTCTGTATGCTAACCCCTTCCCAGCTCTCTCTTCCCACAATGCCCTTGCCCTGCTTCTCCAGGAAGACTCTTGTACTGTCTGGCTTTGTGTGTCAATTTGACACAGGCTGGAGTCATCAGTGAGGAAGGATCCGCCATGAGATCCAGCTGTTGAGACATTTTCTCAATTGCTGATCAATGGGGGAGGGTCCAGCCCATGGTGGGTGGTGCCATCCCTGGGCTAGTGGTCTTGGCTTCTACAAGAAAGCAGGCTGAGCAAGCCAGGGGGAGCAAGCCAGTAAGCAGCCCCCCTCCACGGCCTCTGCATCAGCCCCTGCCTCCAGGTTCCTGCCCCGCTTGAGTTCCTGTCCTGGCTTCCTTTGGTGAAGTGTAAGCCAAATAAACCCTTTCCCCCCAAACTTGTTTTTTGGTCATGGTGTTCAGTAGCAGCAATAGAAACCCTGCGGCAAATCTTACCCAGCAGTCAAAGCCCGGTTCGGAAGTCACCTGCCCTGGCCAGGCTTCTGGGATGACACCTTTGCCTGTCCCTCAAGATGGCAGCAGCCCATCTCTCTGCAGTAAAGCTCCCACAGTCAGCATGGGTGACAGCAGAGAGCTTCAGGGGGTTGAGTGGGGGTGTAATTCATGTGTAGATCCCTTCCCAACAGAGTTGGACTTGGTCTACGCAGGCTGGCATGGAGTCATTCCTGGGTCCCCGTACCCAGAACAGGGTTTGGTGCAGTGCAGTGGGCAGGGGGTGTTGGGATAAGGGGACAAGTGGCCTTGCTGTGGAGTCAGTGGGGGCTTGCAGGACACTGTCTTTCTCCCTCTGAGCACCCCAGCCAAGCATCTTTCCCCCTGACTTGCAGAGAAGCTGGGGTTCTGAGCTTAGGACGCACTGTCCCCTTTTACTGGGGGGCTCAGGATGGAGCCTGTAACCTATGCATGCCTTTGACCCACACTCCCAGGCTGAAGTGTTGTTTGGGGAGGTGTGAACGATGGCTGGCCAGGTTCCCCAAAGTCTAATTCTGAAGGGCTTCTGGGGTCCACCTTCAGCCATCCATGTTGAGATGAGGCCACGTTGAGGAGGCCCACCTCACAACTAGCTGTGCCCTCTGCCTTTGCTGCAACTCTGAGGGGCGGGACTCCCAGAGGACCAATCAGATGCAGTGTTCTCACCCTCAGCTGCTCCTCAGGCAGGTTGCTGCCGTTGTTGATGCCGCGATTCATGGACACAAAGCGCTCGAAGGGCGGTCTGTCCCGGACGTTGGGGTTGTGCAGGCCGGTGTTGAGCATGATGACGGAGAAGGACAGCACATAGCAGGTGTCTGTGGAACCCGGCACTGGTCACTGCCCCCTCCTCGAAGGTCCACCCCGCCCCTGGCTGAGCTTGGCAGACACTCAAGGCCCAGCCTCCCCCTCCCACTCCTGCAAACTTCAGCTGCAGCTTCTGCGGCTGCGCCCCCTGTGGCTGCGCCCTCCTTCCCTCTCAGATCCCGCTTTGCCATCAGCTGCAGCCCGTCCAGGTCCGCCCACTCTGTTCTCTGCCTCCTGGGAACCGGAGCTCATTGTTAGCCGCCCTGCTAGTCAGTAGCCTGTTCTGAGCTGCCTGGTGGGCTGTGCTGCCCGCAGCCTGCTGCATTGTGCAGACCCGCGTGCGCAGGCTTGGGGGTGTGGCTGCTGTTCCGGGTTTTCTGAGGATCCAGAACCCGAGGGAGGCAGTTCCAAACGCTTGACCTTCAGCCTGCCCACACGCCTCTCCGTGATTCTCCCCCCTTCCAACCCCCCCCCCCCGCACCTGTGCTCAGCGTCCCCGGGCCTATCCTGGGTGACAGGTGTGGCTACACCTCCAGCTTAATGAGACGCTGAGGCACAAGGAGGTCGAGTCACACGCTCCTAGGTCCCACAGTGACAAACGGATTGGTTGATTAAAACGCCTTTCATTCTACAAAGCCTGATTGACTGGATTGACTGACACAGGGTCTCACTTGAAACCCAGGCTGGCCTTGAATTGGCAGTGATCCTCCTGCCTCAGCCTCCCTAGTGCTGGTATTATGGATGTATGCTGCCACCGCTGGAAGTCACGGGTGGCCAAGGGGGGCTGGTGCCCTCGTCACGTGTTAGGTGTGGGATCCTGGAGGCAAGCGATTGCCAGCTCTCAGGTCATGGCTGACGCTGCAGGGGCTCAGGTCATGGCCAAGTGTGGGGATGCTCCAGGGGCCTTTGTCCTCCACACAGAAGGGAGGGAGCAGTCTGCCCGGGACAAGTGCCTCTTGCTTCACCAGGGACAATCTGCTGCTGAACCTAGAGAGTGGTGCTGAGATCCGATGACCCTGACCAGAGCGTCCAAAGGCCCTGTGCATACAGAGACAAAGGCCCTGCGTGTATAAAGCGCCGGGAACACGGGAGCCCCCTGACAAACTTGGCTATTGCTGTGTCACGGTAGCTCCAGAGCCAAAAGAAGAGACCGTGGCCAGTTGGCTGTGGCAGCCCCTTCTCCATCCTGCCCCTGTCTTGGAGATGGAGGCATGGGTGACTGAACCTGCTGGTCATCTGCTGTGGCCTTTGCCCCTTGTCTGCCCTTCCAAGGATTCACTTGAGACATTTAAAGCATTTCCCCTTATAGCTTCCTCAAGAACTCCTAGTAATCCTTTAAAACCTCACCCAGACCACGCTTCCTCTGAGAAGCCTTCCTGCACTCTACACTCCCTGTAACTTTCCCTGTCCGCTCCCCCAGGACCACGCTCCAGACTGGCGTGGAGTCAGCGCTCAGCGAGGGTTCAGTAGAAGCCCGAAGAGTGGAAGCGTTTGGGGGCCACGGGGAGCTCGTCACCTGTGGACCGGAAGACGCCTGGGTTACAGAGGCAGTAACGAGCAGCGAAGGCCTCCATCATGCGGTCAATCTTTTGGGCCTCGCCAGGCAGCCGGAAGCTCCACAGAAACTGCCTGGGGGGACAGGGCAGTGGTCAGTGGGGCGGGTGGGGCCCTCGGTGACACCAGGCAGTGAGTGCTCTGCCCCTGTCCCCCTGAACGGGAGCCGAGACCTCCTCCAGGCCCCGACATGGGTGGCTGGGATCAGATGTGAAGCTGCCAGCGGCACAGGACGAGGCGGAGTCGCACTTCTTACGGAGATGTGGTGTGCAGCAACAGGCTCTGTCTGTGGGACCCTGGGCAGTGCTTCTCCTGAATGGGCCTCCTTGTCCTGGGACTCGAGCCTACACCCAGTTCTGGAAGCTTGAGACTTGGTGTCAGCTAAGCTTTCTTGTCTCCACAGGTCCCTTAAAACCTGCTCAGACAAACTTATCGAGTGAATGAATGAATGAATGAACTTCCTCTAGAAGTTAGTACTCCTCGGATGGATGGCAGTGACCTTGTCCTTCTCTGCCCTGCGAACTCCTACTCATCCTGCAAAGCCCAGATCAAATGCCTCTCTTGGGAGCAGACTTCTAGGCCTTCCAGCAGCAGTTTTGGCTGCTAGGTGACATGAAGTTTCACTGAGACTTGGAGCTGACACGTGGGAGTGGCCGGCTCGGGATGGTTGCAAGTCCTTCCTCATTTAGTCCTTCTGCCCAACAGACTGGCACTGACTTGGCTCAGACAACCTTCCTTCCTGCCCTTTTCTGTTTCTTCTTTTTTATTTTAAGAGCGGGTATCCCAGGTTAGCCCGGAACCCACTATGCAGCCCAGGCTGGCCTGGAGCTCCCAGCAATCTTCCTGCCTCAGACTTCCAAGCACCATGATTACAGGTGTGAAGCGCCATCCTGGCTGTGAAGTTTCTTATTTGTACCTTGCCCTGGGTCACCTGGGATGGCAAAGCTGGGGTTGGGAGAGGGTGTTACGGTCTGGGGACACCTGCTGCTAACTCGGGCGCCACACTGTGCCCGTGGAAGTGAAAACACAAATAACGATGAATATTGGAATCAGGCAGTCATAAGTCTTAGCAGCCATGTTCCACACGGGGCCAGATGCGGGGACAAAGTACATGTGTGCTAGTCTAGAATGTGCTAGAACTGGACTCCCCGGATGGCCCAGAGGAAGGGTGGCTGCAAATATCTCAGGCCTCAATAATGGCGGCGCAGCAATGAGAGGCAGCTGCGGGCTTCTGAGCCTGGGATTCTCCCGCCTCAGCTGTTCAGGGCTGTGCTCCCTCAAGCTTCCTCCTCTGCACGCAGCCCTGGTTGGATTCTCCACTCCCCCCCCCCACCACATCTCCTTCCTGGACCACTCACCTGAGGGCCTGAACAAGGTTGAGGTTGGCAAACTCGTGGCAGTCCACAAAGGCCTGTAGGACCTGCAAGTTGATGGGGTCCCTGGAGAGGGACAGGAGAAGGGGGAACAATTGGCAACTTGCGTGCATGCACACAGACACACACACACATACACACACTCACGTATGCTTGCACACATGCACAGACACACACACATGCACACAGACACACACATACTCATGCATGCTCGCAAACATGCACAGACTCACACACACATGCACACAGAGACACACACTCACGCACGCTGGCACACATGCACAGACACACACACATGCACACAGACACAGACACACATACTCACGCATGCTCGCACACACGCACACACATGCACACACACACACACACACCCCTAGGAGGTAAGCTCTGTGTTTGGACCTTTTGGGCCCCCTGAGTCAAGTTCTCCCTTGGTCATTTCCTGCCTGGTGCCCCTACTCAAGTCTCTGAACTTCCCTAAACCCCAGTTTCCTCATCAGCTGCAGGAGAAGCAGGGCTCTCCGCTTCCTCCCTCTCCCAAGCCTGTGCGACATCTCACTCAGAAAGTGTGGAGGAGGCTGGGGACTCCCTGAGCCTCCTCCACAATGGCCCATCTCTTCCATCAGTCAGATGCTCCTGTCTCCCCCCTCTCTCTCTCCCTCCCCCCTCCTCCTTCCCTCCCTCCCCCTCCCTCCCCCTCCCTCCTTCCCTCCCCCTCCCTCCCTCCCTCCCCCCTCCTGATCCTTCATTCTCTTCAATCTGCTGTGAGTCTCGCTGCTTCTGCCTGCAGGCTTTTGCACTGACTTCTCACCGCCTGGAAGCCTCCAGTGTGCAGTGCCCCCGCCCCCCGCCACATGGACTGAAACAGGAGCTCCAGCTCAGAGCCCTGTGCTCTTTGGCTTCCCTTCTGTTTTCTGCATACCCGACAGAGCTCATTTCTGTCCCTCTCCCATGCAGAAGGCACCCATCCCTGAAGACAGGAGCTTGACCACCTTGTCTTCTACAGTCTGCTTTCGGAAGAGAGCTCAGAGCAGAGTAGACACAAACAGCATATTGAATGAATGGATGAATATGTCAGCCCGGGAGTCAGTGCTCATCTCAAGCCCTAAGCATGAGGGCTTTCCAGGCGCCCACACCCCCACTTCCCGCTCCCTGTTCGGGGTCCTCTTACTTTTCTCCCAAGTAGGTGCCAATGGCTGTCTTGTTGAGGCCGTCACCCTTGTACAGGAACTGGGCGATGTCCTGGACATCGGAGGTCAGCAGCTTGTGTTCAGTGAGATACTGGATGCCCTGGAGGTGACACAGAGCCCACGTACAGCCCCTGTAGCATAGGCCCCTGGTGGAGGAGGGGAGAAGGAGGGAGGCCTGTGGTCTGGACTCCACGAAGGCTGTTCTGGGACAGTGCCCTCCGGCTGCCTTTGGGAGGTGGTGAGCTCTACGTCTCTGGAGGTATGCTAAGAGAGTTCAGTGAAGCATAGGCATGCCAGGTCCCTCCAGCCTGGCCTGCCGCAACTATACCCTCCCGCGGCTGCTGGGAGTCACGGTGCTAAGACTCGGTGACTCAGCCTCTCCTTCCTTCTCTCCAAATTCTTAATTTCAAATGGTTTTATTTCTTCTCACTAACAATCTGTGCCCATTGTGTAAAAGTCACACAAGCCAGCTAAATCAGAAGGGTGGGGGGACGGTACAGACCCCACCTGGGAGGTAGCCAGCTTCCACGGCAATGACCTTCACTCCCCTTCTCCAGGAGAAAGGAGGGCATGCCCAGCCTCCTGTCACCTCGAAGCCAGCCTTGCCAGATAAGCTCATGAACCCCTCTCACTGCTGCCCAGGCACAAAGCCACCCCTCTGAGTTTTTGAGGTCAGGGACTGGTCTCTGGTGTTCTGGCATCTTGTGTCCCTGCTGCTCCTGGGTGGAAGGACGAGGATGCCCTGCACCCTGTGGCCGGAACTGGGAACATTTGTATGAGGGCAGGTAAGTGGAGCGGCGGGCGGTCCCGGGCCTGTTGCTGTGACAAGGGAATCCACGCGGCTGAGGCAGTCTCAGCTGTGGCTCCCTGTGCTCTTGCCCTAGTGCGGTGTATGGCTTCCTCCTATGGCTGCCCCTGCTGGAGAGGAAGCCCATGGCCGCCTGGCAGAGTGTAGGGCTGCAGGCTGGCCCCGAGGTCATGGGCGACCAAGCTTCAGAACAGGCTTCTGCAGCCTGAACTCGGAAGATGTGCCAGGGACAGGGTTCACCACCTAAGGGCCTCACTGACTCAGCCCTGTTCTAGAGGAGGGCGTAGGGCCAGGGGAGAAAAGGAACAGATCCAAGTGGGGGGACTTCACGGCCTCCCGTGCTGTGGAGTGGACAGAGGCTAGCCTCAGCTGGGGACCAAAGGCTTGGCCCTGTGGGATCTCAGCTCTCTCCTCTGCTGGGTTGTGAGATTAGCTACAAAGGTACCCAGAAGGCAGCCTCCCCCCTCAGCTCAGCTGTGAACCTTGGTGAGGCCCACGTCACCCCCCTGTGGTCACCCAGATGCCCACTTTGGTGGGATCCATGTCCCCTCCCCTGGATATGTACCTTGGCAGGGTCCATGTTGAATTTCTTCCGCCCGATACACATCTCCTTCTCTCTCTGCGCCATCCGGCTGTGAACAGGGGAAGATCAAAATGGTGGCTCCAGATGCCACTGTCCCCCACAATCCCTCAGGGGGCCTTCCTCAGGAGAGAACTCCACCAGTGTCCCCAGCCCCTGGGTCTGGACCACCTGGGAGAGCAAGAACAGGAAGGGAGGTGTCGAGGGGCGGGGCTGCACGCTGAGCACTGAACTCTGAGCCCCCTCACTGGGGTAGGATGGGGCCCGTGGGCACATGCGCCCCAGAGGCTGCTCCTGAGCTTAAGTCTTGGGCCAGGCACTCGAGGTTGAGTCCCTTCATCCCTCAGGTCCCTTCTGTGCAAGAACCGCCTGCTGCCCTCACCCCCAGGGCACGCGTGTGTTCATGTGCATACATGGTGGGCGTGTGCGTGAGATGCTGCGGAGGCAGAGGCCTCAGTAACCAGCAAACCACATGTAGTTCTGTAGTTCGGTGCCCTAGGGTTCAGATGGGCATATCCAGCCTGCTGGCCACATGTGGCTGCGTTTGGCCCAAGAGAACTGTGAGTGACACCCACACGAAGGTAAATCTACTGAAAACACTGAGGGTATTTTTTTTCCAGTTTGTAGCTGAAATGTCACTTTGTTAGTTTTACAGTGCCAAGAGGTTGTTGTGATCTAGGAGATTATGTGAAGCCCTGACCTTTTCTTTATACAAACTGGGAAACTGAGGCCCAGAGAGAAGGCCCCGTCCTAGGACAAGGAGCCAGCGGGAGCCTTCCTGTGCGAGGGATGATGGTCGTGGGATGAGGTGGGCCAGTGGAGCCTGCTCCAGGCCAGGCCTCTGCTTCCATTGACCAGAGTTTCCTCAGCCTCGCCCAGGGGTGTTTCTTTGCTCATCTGCTTCCAGCTGATCATGATCAATAGTATGTGGGGTGGCTGTGTGGGGAGGTGGGGTGCAGAGGGAGGGGGTGGGTCTCTCGGGAGTCAGTGGGGAGTGGTCCAGGCGGTCTGGATGGGGCTGCGGCATCTCCTTGGGTCCCACCACCACCCATGGCTCACGAGGAGTGAGGTGTGCCCAGAAATCGTCCTCCCCCTGCCCGGGCTCCTCACCTCTCTTCAGTGCTCTCGAAGCAGTCGATTTGGGCAAACACATCTGCGATTTCCTCCTTCAGCTTCTGTGGACACACACACAGGGTCGGCCTGAAGGTCAGGAGGCCGCACGGTTCCCATTCTGCCTGTGGTTCGGCCTCGCACTGCCCGCTCGCCTTGGCCTTCTCACAGTCTTTCCCTCCCCCCCCATGCCCTCTTACCCTCAGAGCAGGAGCTCAGAGCCTCTGTGTCCCTTCTCTCGTCACCACCTCTGGGGTGGGAGTCACTCTGCCCTCACCTGACCCTATTTACAGCTTGCTCTCTCCTCCCGTGCACTGAGCCAGGGCCCTCTGTCCCCCAACAAGCCCTTCCCACAGAAGCATGGCACCGCAGGGCCCTCTGTCCCCCAACAAGCCCTTCCCGCAGAAGCATGGCACCGCGCTCCTCCACTCAGAATCCCCCTGTGGCTCTCTCTGGCCTCCTAGGGAACAGACTGCACCTCCTGTCTGGCATCACATCCTCTCTGTCACTTGTCAGTAAGTGCCTGTCACATGCCAGGTACCCTCGGGTACCTGGGCAGCACAGGCCCCTCAGAAGCTGTGCAGCTCAGTGGAACAGAGGGAAGAGGAAACAGTCATGGCTGACGAGGCGATCACATGTCTGCAGCTCCAATTCCCGGCCTGTGATGCCCTCCACTCCACCCCAGCCTGCCTCAGCCTGACTCCAGGGATTGCCCAGTGCAAAGGAGGCCCCCAGCTTGCCCACCAACCACATTTGCTGGACTGGGGGGGGATGTCCTGGTATCCCCTGCAGGCAGCAGATGAACAGGGCAGGTGACTCAAGAGGCACCCACCCTCTCCCCAAGATGTGGTACTCCTGGGGTGTTTCTGGAAATCAGAACCAGTGCAGTGCCTCTTGCTCTGAGGTCATACAGATCCTGTTCCTAGGGATCTCGGCTGGCCATTTCAGCCCACTTTCTGTGTCTGAGATGGGAGAAAGGCTGGGGTCTGAAGTTAGGGTGGGGGACTCCGGGACGTGGGGTTGGGATGAAAGGAGTCAGTGATCTGGGACTGCTGGGCAAGGGACTGATGCCTGGATCTGGGGGCCGGAGGGGCTGGTGCCTGGGCCTTCGGGAAGGAGAGGATAAGATTGGCTGGCTTTTCAAGCATTTGGGTAGAGAGTGGGGGCTGTGATAGTGTAGTGCTGACTTGTGTGTGTGTGTGTGTGTGTGTGTGTGTGTGTGTGTGTGGTTTAGTGATTATCGTGACTATAGATCAGTGAGTATAAGCATGTGTGGGTTTGTAAGTGTGTGTGTGAACATGTATGGGTCTAGGAGTGTGAATTTGTGGGTCTGGTGAGCATGTATGCGGGTCTATGAGTGTGAGCATGTGTGCACACACCTGGATGTCCTCCAGCAGTTGCTTCCGGTGCCATTTGATCTGCTGTAGCTCCTTGACCTCCCCACTGCTGAGCTCAGCTAGATCTGGAAAGAGAAGAGAAGATTGCTGGATTCTGTATTCTAGGGCTCTTCTTGGGGAGACCCCAGAAACAAAGTGAGGCCTATGGTACTGGAGCCAGTTGTAACTTGCCGTTACCACTCGGGCCTGACCGAGTGCTGCCACCACTGAGGGGCATTCTTGGACATCCCTGTCCAGAGTAGCCCCACTTCTCCACTAACTCCTTTCATTCCCTTTAGGAGAGAGTTCCTGTAGCCATTGTGGGGTCACCTGGGCACACCTAGCTGCAAGGGAGGCTGGCAAATGAGCCTTGCTAAGATTGTCCTGTTGTCCTGACTTTGTAAGAAGGGAAACAGAGTGAGAGGTGGGAGTTGGTCCCTGCTCTCAGACACTGTGGCTCAGAAAAGAGAAGTTAACTGGCTAATATTGCACAGGGGTGAGGCCACACACCAGCTGGGACCCTGGGTTGAACAGGGTTCCAATCTCGTGCCATCCCACCTGCTCCTGAAACAAAGTGAGGTCCATGGCGTTGGAGCTAGTGTGGCTTTGACTTCCTGGCCAGGACAATCCTCATTCACTTCACCTACTACACTCTAGTCAGAGCCTCCACAGAGCCAAGCATTAGGAGGTTGAGGCAGGAGGATTACAAGTTTGAGGCCAGCCTGGGTTATAGGGTAAGACTCAGTCTCAAAAAAAAAAAGCAAACATCAAACTATGACCAACAATGTGGGCAGCTAAGGACCTTTAGTCCTTCCCAGAAAGACCACGGTGAACATCTTGGTTGGGACACCTGGCTTACCACTTCCTGTGGTTCAGGAAGAGAGGGTACCCCTGAGTTCCTGGAAGCAGCTGAGGCCAAGGTCAAGAGAAAGGACAGTGGAAAGTTGGGGAGGGGCCAGGGATCGGGAGGAGACATGGGTGGGTTTATGGAGGGAGTGGGCACAGAGTTACAGGAGTCACCAGCAGGCAGGTTTGCAAGAAGAGCACGAAAACACAACTCCGCTAATGACCTGGCCAGCTGACTCGCCTGCCTTGGCTCTGGCACAGTGAGGGAAGTAGCCACATGGTGTGGCAAGAAGCTGGACTCCTTCCTGAGTCCCTGACTACCACCCATCATTGGCTGGCCAGCCAGCTGCAGACACCGGCCCTCCATGGACTTGAACGTTTGCTTTAGCAAAGACTTTGCCCATGCTTTTTATTTTTATTTTTATTTTTGTATTGCTGAGGGCAGAACAAACGGCTTTGAACGTGCCAGGCAGACTTTCGGCCGCTGAGCCCCATCCTGGCCCTGCTATTCATGTTGTCGGGAGCCCGCAGAGGCTCAGGTAGACAAGGGTAGCGCCGCTTCTTTTACTCAGGGGCTTTCACAAAACACGGGGCCATAGGCAAGCAAAGAGCCTCTTTCCCAGCAAAGGCCGTGTGCAGTGGGAACCGCTTGTCCCCACACTCGCCACCACCAAGGTCTGCTGGAGCACGGGGCAGCCTTATGGCGGTGCATGGAGAAGGCTCCCTGCTTGGATGGCCCCTCCCCCATTGTACATGCGGCTGGCTGCAGGGCTCCTTTAGCAGGACTGCTTACTGTCCTGATGGCTGGATGGGACTTTCTTTTTGTCCCTGCAAGGCTAGAGGTCTTGTTCAAGGCGGGCCAGAGAGGAGTGTGATGCAAGTCTCATGAAGTCCCAGCTCCCAGACACCCAAGGAAACAAAGTCACTTAGTCCTTGTGCATTTTTTATAGGGGTTAATTTCAGGTTAAGACACAGGGACTCAAGAAGGTGAGGGGACATATCCCAGGTCACACAGCTGGCAAGAGGCAGTGTGGGATTCCAGCATGGTTATGGACACAAGGCTTTGCCCAGGCAAGGCAGGTGTGTGTGTGTGTGTGTGTGTGTGTGTGTGTGTGTGTATGCCTGCATGTCTGTGTTGGGGGGGATGAGCATGTGTGTTTATCTGCATAGAGGCCAGAGGCTGACACCATATGTCTTTTTTTGTTTGTTTTTCGAGACAGGGTTTCTCTGTATTGTTTTGGAGGCTGTCCTGGAACTCGCTCTGTAGACCAGGCTGACCTTGAACTCACAGAGATCTGCCTGCTTCTGCCTCCCAAGTGCTGGGATTAAAGGCGTGCGCCACCAATGCCTGGCTTCATGTGTGTTCTTTAATCACTTTCTATCTTCCTTCTTTGAGACAGTGTCTCTGGCCAAGTCCAGTCTGGCTAGCCAGCAAGCTCCACCTGGGCCCCAAACAACTCAGAATTCCCTTCACTCCGCCTCTTCCCGACTCTAGGGGTGCACCGCTACCCCAAGCACCTCGATGCCGCCTCCCTGTAGCCTTGAACTCCCCCCGTCACCAGGTCCTGGCAATGTTCCATTTCCATGGCCGCCACTGTCATCCGACTTCCAAGGCTGGGCTTTCCAGTGCCAGCCGGCTTCCCTCTGTCTGCCAGCCCCGAGTGCTCCCCGTCCTCCTCCTCAACTGAGAAACCACGGTGTGCACTTCTCCGTCCATCCCTCAATCCCCCCTGGAGAAGGGATTTCTAGCTTCCTCCTCCTGTATGTGACACTCTTGGAGTTCAGAGAGGCTCTGTGACCTCCCTCAGCCGGCATAGCCGGATGGTGGCGGAGCCGGGACTCACGCTCTCCCCGCCTGGCGCCAGAGCTGACAACCCTTCTGCAGCGCCGTGGAACCCACAGCCTGGGTGCCCTGACCCTGTGCCAGCCACCGCATTGTGAAATGATGGAGATGCAGGAAGCTGCCTGCAGCAGGACCTCCCTTGACCCTCCAAGTCCATGGGCATGTGGGGAAACTGAGGCACGGGAGTGGGTGGAAACAGATACAGGGAAATGGGGTCTCTAGTGGAGTGGACAGTGCAGGGGCCGTGAGGCGTGGCCTGAACCGCCCCTCTCAGCTCTTCTCAGGCTCTGTGGTGGCAGTCCTCAGGAACCCTCTGAGGAAACTGTCCCCTTCTGTCCAAGCCCTGTCTCTAGTGGGCTTCAGCTGTCCAAGTGCGTGTGAACCACAACACAGCAGGCCTGCTGCCCCAATGCAGGTCGTGTGGCCCACAAGGACCCTCTCATCAGGCTGCCTATCAAAAAGCGCAGGTGTTCACCATCCCGATCCTCGGAACCGAGGTCAGAGGGCAATGCAGACACTCTGATGCAACCCGTCCAGGGTGGCTTTCAGCCATTGGTAACGGTCCAGGGAGAGGCTGTTTGGAAGCAGTACAAGCACTGGAAACCTACACACACCACTACAGCATGAGCATCCAATCCTTTCGTAGTGCTCCTCAGCCTCCCGCCACCCTCCACCCCTGCCTGCCCTGCTTGCTACATTCCCAGCCTCCCGCCCCCCTCCACCCCTGCCTGCCCTGCTTGCTCCGTTCCCAGCCCCCCGCCCCCTTCGCCCCTGCCCACTGTACCTTCTGTGCTGCAGTCTCAGGCCAGTGAGTGCCCAGTGCCCACTGCCCCGAAGTCGCCACGCCTGCTCCCCACTTCCCTCTTGCCCTTCCTCTTTCCCATCTTATTTTTAGGGCCTGCAGCCCCCTCTTCCAGGACAGCTGCCTCCACTTCCCCTTTCTGGGTGGAGGGGCACCACTGGGGCCACAGGGAGGGTGCTCTTGAGGGCACTGGGTAGAAGGGGCATCAGGTGGAGGGCACTGGCGCAGCTTCCTCTCCCTGCCAGCGCCTGCAGTTTGAGCTTACCCGCCCTCACTCTCCCCACAGTGGCAGGAGTGGGGGTGAGGCAGGGCAGCTTGGGAGAGTCTCTGTCACCGTCCCCATCCATGAACATCACGAGGAAACTGAGGCCCGCCGAAGGAAGAGGCCCAGCCCTGGCGCCCGCCGGGCAGGTGTCCACATCCTCAGAGGCAGGCCAGGAGGACAGAGGGCCAGCTGTCCACAGACAACGCAGCTGAGGGACGTCCCCTGCCACCATGGACTTCTGTGGGACCCTCTCTGTGTGACATAACCATCACCCCCTTCCCAGCTGCCTCCTCCAGGAAGTCCCAAGCCCCTTCTCTCCCTTTCCACGTCTGTGCCAGAGGTGGGTGTGGTCAGGAGTGGGTCAGGGTCCCCTTTCCCTCCAGCCAGCACCCTGGAATGTTAGCTCCTGTTCAGTCCCTGCTGTTTTGAAGAACATTGCAGGAATGTTTGTAAAATGAATAGCTGAGCCACCAACAAAAAGACAAACCAGCCCGTGGAGACCCCAAATCTCCCACAGATTGGCCCTTGTCCATCTGTCTATCCTAGGTTGGTATGAAGTGAATCCCCGCCTTCTGCAGCCCGAGCCTAAGGTGGCCCCTTCCCTACGCTCCTCTTGCTGGGCTGTCTATTGGCCCTATGACCCGAGCGTCTTCACCCTTACCTCCCCTCTGGGAGCCTCTGCCTCCTCCTTTGCACCAAGTGTGGACTGTCCTGTAACCCTGAATTGTCAGGGCCCAATGAGTAAGGGACTCCATCTTTGCCTTGTGCCTCTGACTGACCTGAGTGACCTGGGGTGGGGCCTGCCTGTCACCTGTCTCCCGTTGCCTTCTCCCTGCCCGCAGCCTCAGCCTAGCCACTCTGAAGCGCCGAATTCACCTCCCCCTCCCCCACAGAACCCAGAGAGACACAGAGAGACTAGGTGGGCCTCCAGTCACATCACGTCCCCTCCCTCAGCCTCCTGTGTCCTGTCCACCAGTGAATGGCTGTTGAAAGATCCTGATGGGTCTCTGTGTTTCTGGGATGCAGAGCACTGGGCACAGCTTCTGTGGATGCCCTGCCTGTGGGTGGGCCCAGGCTGCTCACGATTAGCTTTCATTTGGAGAAATGCATCAGTCTGGACCGGCTCAGAGTCACATAGACCGGGAGATTCATATAGCTGTCACTGTCCCTCAGAGCCTAGAGCTCCAGGGGAACTTTCTGGAGCGCAGGGTACAGAGACCTGACTCCTTCCATAGCCCAGCTCTCTGCCCCTCGAGAGCCACACTAGCTTGTCCCTCCCGTATCAACTTGGCAGCCTCCTTTTCTGTCCCTCAGATCCACCACCCCGGCACCAAGTGAATACGGCCTCCTGCGTCAGGGCCTCGGTGGCCACGTTACTCCTCCAGGCAAGGTCCTCAGCCTCCATCAAAGACCACCAGGCCCAAGAGCAGAAAAAGTGCTGCAGGGCCGTGTGCCACCCAGATGCATGCCACCACCAACAGTGCCACCTCCATCAGAAGCTGCTCCTCGTGGCCGCCTCCAGGCCCTTGCAGGTGACTCTTCCCTCTGCCTGAATGCTCTCGCTCAGAACTCCCAGGAATCCTCTCTGGGCTCAAGCTGTGTCCCCTCCAGGCTTCCCAATGCCTTCTCCCCCAGCCCGTGTCTGCCTGTCTCGTCCCTCACTCCGCTTGTTACCTCACCATCCATCCTGTAGCTGACCCAGGAGGTCAGCGAACACTCGGATCCCGGTGGGACCCCGGGACCAGCAGCTCAGCCTGGTGCCTGCCTCTGTACCCAGGGTCTGATGTTTGGGACTGGTTAAAACCAGTTTTACTTCTGTGCCCTCCAGGGTGCTCCCCACACGGCTACCATTGCTTCTCTGTTCTGCAGGAGGAAACGCTGGGGTCCATGGCTGGACTCTGTTCGCTTACCTGCGTGACACAGGTCCATTCTGGAGCCCTGAGGCAGGGTGGTCCGGCTGTTTGTCTTGCTAGCTCAGCTGCTGCTCTGCTGGGTGGCTGACAGGGCTAGTCACCACACCTTCCTGCCCGCCCCGCCCAGACCCTGTGGGAGGAAGCCAGCCCTGGCCACAGAGGTCTGTGCGCAGGCTCCTCACACAGCACATACTTCCGAAATCAGTTGCATTTCACCAGCTAGCTGGGACCCTGGCGGATGAGTATTAGGAGGGGGGAGTGAAGAAAGACAGACCTGGGGAGTGGGAGGGTCTGATAGAGAAAGACACACATGTACACATACACAAATGCACACACACGTGCATGCACACACATACACCCACGTATACGCATGCACACACAGGTGTATACACATATACACATGCATGCCCACAATATACACATGTACACACATATGCATACATGCACATACATAAGCATATACATGTGTGCACACACATGCACACACATGCTCGTGCACACGCACATGCATACATGCATACACACATATGCATGCATATACATCACAAGCAAACACATGCGCATATGCACACACACATATACACTTGCACACACGAACACACATATGCACATGTACACATTCAGCCACCGGGAAGAAGGTGCTGAGAACAAACCCTCTCTGGGGGTGTCGGCCTTTACCCAGCAACCTCCTTATAGACAAGCCGAAGGAGTCCCTGCTTCTCGGGTCTTCTCTGAACTCTTCTTCATTAATTCTCACCAGGGGAAAGACAAGTTCATTCAGTGATGGGCAGGGCTTCCTCCCTTCAAAGAAATGTGCCCCCCATCTCATGAAGTGTCCAATTTTCCTTTCTCCCCAGGCTGCTGGGAAACTCGCCATCAAATCTGTTCAATTATTCCGTGTGACTTTGGGGCTGGATCCAGACGTTTGGCTCTCAGCTCCGCCACTCAGGACTCATGCGACTTCGGGCTAGTCACGCATTCTCATTGAGTCTCACTTTGCTTGCCTGTGAAGTGAGTGACCACTCAATCTTGGGAACATAGAGAGGACAGTGCTCGAGAAACACTTTTCCTTTGGGCTTTAGCTTTTTCCCCATTGTTGGTTGAAATGCACAGCCTCATGGCTTAGGTCTTTTCTGGCATGTTGGTTCAAATCCTGTGGGGAAAGTGGGATGGCAGATGGAGACATCCATCAGATGAAGGCTTACTCCTCGGAATTCAGGCCACATCTTGGCTGACTGATCTGAGGGACAGGCTGCCTTTGGGTCCTAGGACCTCTTAAAATGTGAGGACAATGGGAGTGTTCAAGTGATGATGAATGAATGAATGAACGGATGAATGAATGAACTAAGGGGAGCTAGCCTGGAAGGCGCAGAGCACACATGCAGTGCCCTCCTTGAGTGAAGCTGGCATTTCTGGCCGGGTGGTATAGGCCTGTCATCCTGGCTTCTTGGGAGACCAAGCAGAGGCTTGAAAATTGAAGGCTGATCCAGACAGTGAAAATCTGCCTTAAAATAAGAAACAAAAGGAGGGTTTGGGAACATAGCTCATGGGTATGGCCGTGCACATACATATGTACGTACATACATACATACATGCATACATACATACTATATGGAGGTGAGGCCTGCTCTTTCCTTCTGCTCTTCTCCGTGGGGTCTGAGCTCTTGACCCACAGAATCTAGCAGAGGGGCTATCACAGCTCCGTGGGTAAACAGCAGGGGGCGCCCGGACTCAACTGGCCCATGGCATAGAACAGGCTGGGCTCTGCAGCTCTCTGGTGTCCCAGATGCCCTGTGTCTCCCACGTCTGTCTCTTCTCACCAGTTTAGCCACAGGGCTTGCTGGAGCTAGGACCACAGACAGCAGGGAGCTGGGAGTGAGAGCTGGTGCTGGAGGTGGGGTGACTCAGAAGCTACAGGAGGAGCAGAGGTCAGAAGTCCTGCCGCCGTGCCCAAGTTAACACTTAGGAATTACCCCTGCCCCTGAGACTCCTCCTAGCATCATTGACCATTAGCTAACATGGGACACAATGAAGGCTTGTCATCAGGGCAATGGCAATCAGTTGCATCATGTAAGAGCAGTCAGCGCCTGACATTCAAGGGGCGATGACTAGGGTGATATCAGGATGTTTAGTGTTAACTGCCAACTTGACACTAGAGTCATCTGGGAGACAGGCCTGTGAGGATCACCTTGATTTTACTGAGGTGTGAAGACTGCCCACTGTGGGCGGCACCATCCCCTGGCTGGGGTCCTGGGCTGTGTAAGTGGAGAGAGGGAACTGAGTGGCAGCCTGTGCTCGTTTCTCTGCTTCCTGATGGCCGATGGGATTTGACTGGACGCTTCAAGCTCCCACTGCTTTGATTTTTCTGTCATGGTGGACTGGACCCTTGAGCTGTGAGCAGAATAGAGCTTTTCTCTTTAGTTGCCTTTGTCAGAGGATTTTGTCACAGCAACAAACAAATGCTAAGATAGCAACTAAGACAATGGTGATGGCCAGCCACAATTCAGGCATCTCCTCTGCCATGATAATAAACAGCGTACCCTGCCTCGAGGGGAAGTGATGGGCTCAGTCCTAGAGGGACAGGGCTAGGTTTGGGCTGGGCACTGTAGGCACCAGAGAGGAAGAGCTGAGCACTGAGCAGATTAGGAGTTCAAAGTCATTCTTGGTGAGTTTGAGGCAGCCTGGGCTATATGATGTCCTGCCTCAAAAGAAGACAAAGTGTGTGTGGGGGAGAAGCCACAACTGTTCCATTGCTATTGTGTGTCACCAGTGCATCTCGCAGAGAGGGTTTGGAGGAGGAGGTGGTGGCTTTAATGGGCAGGCAGAGGACCATAATGGGTCCGGAATGTTGGGAGCTGAGGTCCTCCTGTCCTGAAGCTCCCATTTCAGGAACCAGAGAGTAAGGTTTAGGGAC